ACTCCGGCGATAACGCCAAGCGATAAGCAGCGTATATGCCGGGCGAGGGTACGTGCATCGGGGCGGGCTTTTATGGGATTATAATGAAAGCACGGCGACGACGAGGCGGCCGGAAAATTGGATGTCTCGCGGCGATTTCAAGGCTGCGCGCGCAGGTGCATAAGTAGGCATTGATGACTCGCGTGTTCGTGCGCGCGGCGTTTTCGATCGCTTCGGGGGAGAGGCTCGCCTCGTCTGCGGATTCGCCCGCGGAATGTATTCCGTCCGTTTTTACGCGCCTCTTGTCGGAGGGCCCCTCTTCTCTCCCCGCGAAGAGGCCGCTGCTAATGTCGTCAATGCGCATGGTGATTCGGCAGGATTAGTCGCGGCGCTGCTGCTTTCTTTGTATTTGTGAGAATACGTGCGCGCGCGACGGTGCGTATTATTTACGTGGCAATTAAGACGCGGTGGATCGAGATAATGTCCGGTAATGACTCGGTGCGCGCGTCGCGCACAGCGCCTCCCGCGAAAGCGGTTTACTTTATCCCCCCGATCGAGATAAACCGCGAGAGATCGATGTTCCGCCGCAACCTGACTCAACACTCCGTCAACTCGATGTCACATCCGCTGACTCATCCGGTGCTCCGAGGGACACGCGCACTCTCCGCGATAAACAAAAAATTCCTTTCCATGGCACCGCGCGAGAGTGCGTCTGTCCCCCAATTCCCACGGGCACCCAGTGCGTGTGTGTGTGTGGCGTGCCTTGCGCGTATATATCCGTCCGTACGTCGACGTGTGTCCAATCAATCAGCCATTATTTCCTCGCCCCCAGACACGTCTATTAATTCGACGGTCTGGCCGGCTAGGAACCGTCGGGCGAAGAGAAACAAGAAACTAAGAAGTACAAGAGAATAAGAGACACACCGCCATAATGTTACTGATAAAAATAAAGATAACGACCGTAAGAATGACTACCAATCAGAAGGCAGATGTGACAAAGGGACGAGAGAACGATTCTACGGTGTATTGAAGCGGCCCCCGCTTTGGCTGTGTTTCTGACGCCGCGATTAGTCGGAAATACAGGCGTACCGCGCGGGCTGTATTCTTGCGTCACTATTTTTCGTCTCCGTTCCTCATCTTTATTCTTCCACATTGTACTGACCCCGTTTCGCCCGCGAGAAAAAAAGGACATCTGCTCTCCTTCTCATCAGCCGTTGTCGAAATTGAGAATAACGCGGCGGCGTGAAAGAATGGGTGTCGAGCGGCAGCAGCCCGTACGCGGGCGGACGCGTGTCCCGCATGCGTGAGCAGCACACGCGCACGTGCTCGTGCTGAAAACCGTCGGCGTCATAAGGGCAAACGGGGAAAAAGTTAGCGCGGGGACACGCGGGATGGAAAAATGCGCGCATATCCGGGCCAACGCGCGGCTGCTATTTTTGGCCCGGTCGCGCGGCGCGTGCACCCTTCGCCCGTGTAAACACGCGACCAGAACGCGATCAGAAGGATCGAAAGCGCCTGGAAGCGGATTCTAAAAAGCGCAGGTAAACGCTAAATGCGACGGAGACGCGATTTCGACGGCAGGGAAAAAGCGATCGATCGACGCGTGGCAAATTTCTCGCGACTTAATTGGGGATCTAATATGATTTCCCCAGAGAGAATTTTGGATTTCAGCTGAGAAGAAGTCTAACGCTGGTTCTGGATTAGAAGTGTGATGTTTCAAATATAGATTCTCTGAGCGAAAGACTCATAAACAGATCCTATTTTGTCACTCTCAACGTTTTTCCAAAGATTCTTTCTGGTTTTCATTTCACACTACGAGATTGAACAAAATATATGAGAAGCATTTTCAGCGCATATACACACACACACACACACTTCTGCTATATGGGTTAATTTGATAGCTCTCAGCTGTCCATATTAAAGGAAAGCGCAGTGGATTCAATCTAAATTTTATGAAACTAATTTTAAGACCGACACAAATGTGCGCGTTATTCAGCTGATTATTATTATATAAAAATGAATTTCAGTGTGATGAAATGAGCACCAGACTAAAATCTGTTGACAAGAAAAATGATGTTTCTATCACAAAGGCTCGGTTTTTCATTTTCTGATTAACTCGTGGCTTAAATTTAAATTGACGATAATGCAAAAATCGTGTTTTCCTACTCATAGTTAATCATTGAATTGTGATGGTTTTACAATAGTTTAAAAATCTAAAAGTTTCCACATTTTAATGATTAACCATGAACAAACAAATATAATGTTTGCGTTATCATCAGATTAAGCCTAAACCACAAGTTAATCAGAAAAATAAAGCGCCTGAGTCATAAATGACGGTGTCGTTTGTCGCAACTCTTATCACAGGAACTCGAACGAGACAGTCGCAAACGCGACACGAAGCAAACCGCATCGCACAACCAATCAACATCAAGGAAAAGTAACTTCATCTTATGCTTGGGATAAAAATGGAACTCCCAATCATCTCGTAATACTTTATAGTGGATAACTTATTTGGAAATATAATATAAGATAATATAATATAAGAAAAATAATATAAGAATATCGGGGAAAATTTCTTCGAGGATGTGTCACTCCACACAGACAAGGAAAAAGTAGACCTTCCATTAATGACCCGATCAATTCCAAATAATTTTTTTGGATCGTGGCAATTGTTGCAACATAAACGACAGATCGCCGAGTCCCGAAGATCGCGCCCGATCTTAAGCGGATCGGGTAGATCGCATTGAACGCGCGACCAGAATAAAGCCGCTCTTTCCCTCGGAGCCTGTGCGCGCGCGCGCTTCGTGCGCGAACGAGAGAAAGGCAGATGTGGGCAAGTTAACGACCCGTTATCGCGCGGACGGCGCGCGGAGCCGTCGTTGCTGAAACTGGTTGCTGCCGATCGCGAGCCGGCAACAAGCGGGGCGGCGCGGGTTACCGCGTTGCAACGAGGAGGAGCGGCCACGAGTAACGCCGGGAAAGGAGTCAGTCGCATTTCGCGCGAAAGAAGCGCGTTTGACGGGAGCCATGATCGAGCGAACCGGTCAACGTGTGTCCTCACCGGTGCAGGTGCACCACAATGCAGGTCGCGCGCGCAAATGCCACGCGCGCGCTCCGCGGTAACGGCGCGCGCCGCCCAGTCGCGGAAAACTTCGACGGAAGGCGACGTCGCGTCGGACATCTGCATACAATGCTCATGGTTAATCGGCGAAGCGACGTAGTTGACTTCGATCGGCGATCGAACGTATTTCCGCCGGAGTTACTTAGTACCGGCGGTTGGAATATCGGTGCATCGTACGCGTAGCGAGCGAAATGACGTAATGACGGAGATATCCCACCTGTCGGGAAGGGTCGTCGAGACGGCTGGACGAAAAAAAAGGAGAAAAAGGTGAGATATCTCTCGAAGGACGAAAATCGCCGGCCGGTAGGAAAAACACCGAGACGAGTTTCCCCGGATGAACGGTTTACGCAGACCGAGAAATTTTCTCGAGGCCTTTCAACCGGGCCGCGACCGCCGTTCCCCGAGCGACAACAATCGCTTCTGTGGAAGCCTTGACTGCGTTCTAAGCGAGAGCGCGCGCGCGCAGCAGGTAAAGGCCTGCTATGCAAAATCGGCACAAAGGTAAAAGAATGGAAAAAAAAAGGGGGGAAGACAGACCGGGCAGCGTCGACCGTCGAAGACACCAAGTTGGCAAGAGCGCGCATCCTAGCCCCTCTCTTTCTCTTTCGTTCTCCTTCGCCCCTCCCCAAATCGCGCTTTCTTTATTCTTTATTCGTTCTAGCGATCGCAAAGAGCAAATCCACGATCGAACAATAGATTTCTCGAGATCGCCGCGGGAAACTTGGCTGACGCGGCGTGAAAAAAATTCCTATAGTGGTCTGCTGCTCGAATAGTCATTTCGTCATAACGTCGGATCTTTAATTTCTTTAATGCTGAACACGGCACTGCGAGAGGGTGAGAGCGATTAAATGTTAAATGAAATTCAACTTCCACAGAGCCGACACCCCTTTCCTCCCGAGGGCGACTGTTAATAACGCCGCTCCGCCCAAATATATCGTACGCTCTGGGGTAGAGCTCCCTCAAGGATAATACAATACATAGAATAAATACAATACGAAGACAAGACACAAAGAGAGCGAAAAAATGAATAACCAACAATTGTAGTGGCCGATATTCATCGACAGCGAATAAGCTGATAAGAATCCAAGGGCTCTTAAATAAATGACTTTGTACGGGTGAGAGGCGGTTGTGCCGGGATATAATCGCGAGATTTGATTTTGTAGAATGTTATATGTCACAAGAGAGTAAGAGGGATCGGGCGATTTCGCGCTCTCGGATCGAACGACGGAAAAGGTCGGCTGGAAATCGCGCCGTACGTACAGTTCGATCGTTCGGGGGTTAAGTACGACCATCGAGCAGATGGTGGGGCACAGAATCAAGATGGCGTAACGACCGGTCGGTCGCCGCCACGTTCTCCGAGGGGATCTCGCTCGTCCGTTCGCTCGGTCACGGCTCGCTCATGCGAATTCCGGAAAGCTCGCCGGTTCGGTCGGCGCGGCTGGAATCCGAAGGGCGCGCGCGGAGCTCGTTCTCGGGAAGGACGGGCTACGAGAACGCGGGACGTCCTCGAGGTCTCCCTCGCAGGCTGGCGCCGTCCGCTATATCGATTGCCGCCGCTCCGGCTTGCCCATTTCCAAAATGGCGCGGGGGGTACAGTTGAAATCCGAACGCCGCGACTGTGCAGCGGCGATTGCACCCGACGTTGTGACGTTTTCCGGCGCGCGAGAGACGACGATTAATGGCTGCCTTTTCCCGGCGAGAAAATCGTCAGGGCGAAATGAGGACATATGCGACCGGCCAGCCCCGGCACGTACGCACGCGCGCGCCGGCGAAAAACTTTCGTGGACGCGCAACAGTTACTCCGTCGTTGCATTGTCACAAATTTGTTCGAAAAGGGACGAAGGACAAAATCGGAGGATTCGGCGCACCGACCGCTCGTCACCTGTCTGATGGTACTCACCTCTCGACTCTCGTAAAAAAACGGAGCGACGAGTGCCCCGAAAAATCTCCTTCGTGGCGAGAAAGCAACGGCGGCGGCGCACACTTTATACGTTATAAATCCGTCAGGTCGATCCCTCGAGATGATCCTGAGGGCTGGTCCTCTGATGGCACGATGCGCGACTACGGCGTCTCTCTCTCTCCTTCTCTCACAGGTTCCGTACGTTAACAAGCGAGACGAGGCGCGCGTGTTCACCACGAGACGGGGAGAGAACGCGCGGATAGGTACACCGTGTATGCGTGCGTGCGTGCGTAGGAAGAGAGAGTACTGGCGGCCTCTCTCGTGCGCCGTGACGGGTTAAGAGAGAACTTTTTCAACGGGAGCGCACTCGCGAGCCCATCCACTTAGCTTGGTAACGCGCGACCGACTGGCGTGAGCGCGGAGGGGAAGCGGCGTCCGTCTGTCGGTCCGTCTTTCTGTCACCAGCGCGTTGGTTGCTCGCTCACTCGCACCAACGCTGCTTCCCTCTCTCCCTCACTGTGTCTTTCTCTCTCTTTCTTTCCCCCTCTCGGTCTTTCTCGTTCGCTCCCTCTGCCGTTCTTTCAGGATATCTCTCGCTCTCTCTCTCTCTCTTTCTCGCTCGTTCGTTCGTTCGCCCTACCTCTCTCCTTTACTATCACCCGTCCCTGTCTCCCGTTCTCGACTCTCTCTGTCTGCTATCCTCTCCTCTCCACCGCGCTATCTCTTCCCCCTCTCTAACCTTCCTTCGCTTCTGGTCTTTTCTACTTGCTCTCCTCTCTCTCTCTCTTCTCTGACACGCACACCCTACGCTGCCTCTCTCTTTCTCTCTCTACCTTCCGACTGCTTCTTCTTCTTCTCTCCCGTGGTCCGTGCGCCGCGACTCGAAATCGCAGGTACGTCGATGCCCCGATCGAGAAATCGTAGCAGGGTGCACACGATCGGCTCCTCTTTCTCTCGTAGGACGTCTTCGGGGAAGGATGTGCGAAAGTGCGCGCGACCGGCTACGTGCACACGCGGGGCGAGTCACGAGACGACGCGCGGCCGCCGGGCTGCTCTACGGTCGGGTTAATGATCGATCGGCTCCTCTCACGCCGGGTAGCAGCGAGAGAACCGCCGCCGCTTCTTTGTTACACCGCTTATCCCGCTGCGTTTCGGCACTGCGTGCTACGCGCGCGCGATGCGGCGGTGACGCGTTTGCCCGAAGACGACGCGCCCGAGGAGTCTTCTACCGAAGTAGAAGAGGTCGAGGAGGAACGACGAATCAATCCTCGTGTGAAGCCGAGCCGCTCTCTCTCTCTTTCTCTCTCGATCCGGTCGATTTTGTGCGCCGCGCGCGCGCGACCGAGCGACAAAAGCCGGACGGGACTCTCTCCTCCGCGAGAGATCGAAGAACGCGCTTCTCGTCGCGGCCTTTTCCTTCGCGGCCACCACGGTCCGTACACACCGGCACGATCCGCACCGCTCGACCGTCAGATAAAGAATGAGCCGGGTGAACGGCGGCGGCGGTCGGCAGGGATGTAACGGGCGAGCCCGGCGCCCCGGGATCCCGTTCGAGTGGTGGCAGCCCTGCTACGAGACGACTCCAGCTAAACCTGAAGCGAGAGAGAGAAAGAGGGCGAGCGGCCGACCTGTAGGGCGGGGCCCTCTGTTACGAAGGGTTATTTACCTAGGGACACGCCGACCGACGCTCCGGAGAGAGCGCCGAGGAAAAGCTGCGATTTTCGAAGCAACGTCTCGAAAGACCGTCCTCTTCCGGGATCGTCGGGATCTAACGATTCGTGACCTTTGGAAAAGGTTGTCGTACGAATGGTGAAATCGATATTTAGCCGGTTGCACGGAATATTATCGAATAACATCGGGAAGTGTCGGCAATGATGGTCGTCTGAGAGGAGAAAAATTGTATTTGCGATCACGCCCGATTGCCGTTCTACTCGGGGCTGGCCGGGATGTGGAAGGAACTTTCATGGAAATAGCCGAGGATCTTATGGAAAAGCTATTTTTCTAAGATTCCCGCTCCAATAACGTTAATGTGACGTGATATCCCGACGATAGCTCATTATTCGTTCTATATCTGCGTCCAACCCTCCCGAGACATCCTGCTGAGGTCGAAATCCTTTGATGAACGTTTTATGTCTCAGAGAAGCGAAGAGGGGGAGGGATTAAGTCGCGTTCCTGCAAATCGAAGAACTTCCCTCCTTTCTCGGACAGTTTGACTCCCGAAACTGGTTTCCCGCCGTCTCGGCTGAGATTTCAGTTAAGCACCGTAGATAACGATCCCCTAAAGCTCACGTTATCCCCGGTAACGGCGCAAATAGCTGGCAATTTCCCTGTGACGTTTTTTACCCCGTGCCGTATATCCTCGCGATCGCGCACGTCTCTCGTTGCGATGGTTGTCGCGGAAATTTCACAGGGAAAACTCGCCGCGTACTGTGCTTATCGAAAACGCGCGCGCGACACGTCGTACCGGAGTATCGGGGATATTTAAATTGACACGTCATATTGTTCTCCGTACGTGTCGACGAAATTTATATCGCCGAACACGTCTCCTCTCTCTCTCTCTCGTATCGCGACGCCATCGTTTGAACGCTCTCGATGAATTCCGAAAAATCAATTGATCGCCGAGCCGCCCGACCACGATACCGCGAACTTGACGTTTCCCTCCTGATATCGTACGTTGAGTCGCTCGCGAGGACGATTAGAAACCGCGATTATCGTCGATAATCTCCGGCACGATTGCACGGTGCACTACCTGGAAATCAGCGGTCATTTGGGCAACTACAGCGATCGCTCGAGCGAAACGAGACACGCGTTGTACGCTTGCTGCTAGGCTGCAGGCACAGCTCGAACCTATTACGAGTCGCCTTTCGCCTCTCCTGGCGAGAAGCCGATGACTAATGCGCGAAAAGCGGCGACAGAGAGGAGCGTTTGCGCGAGAAATGCCGTCGTGTTAGATAACGCGGGAAAGGACGGTGATTTTTCGGGACTCGCCGGTCACAAAATGTGACCGAGGAGAAGAGACACACGAACTATAAGCACGAAACGAATGAACCGGAAATCGTCCGATAACGTCTATCCTTAACCGATAAGATTAAGAGCTGGATTACCAAATATTTCAGCGCAGGACACTGATAAAGGACAGCAAATAAAAGACCCCGTCTCGGGGAACGAAAAATTTTCCACGTAAAACAAAAAGAACCAAGTCTTACGGACGTCTAAAATAAAAAAAAAGTTTTTATTTCCTAGTAACTGTATCTTTTTTACTTCTTAGTCGCGTTCTTCGGATTCTTAAGTGCCAACGGATACCCTCAAAGAAAAGAAAATGGATGCTCGACTTCTCGAACGATGCGCAAGGAACTTCAGTTGCCACCTGTATCTATTTAAAAAATCACGCGTCCAATATTCATTTTCATTCTCGAAACTTGTACTCTACGCGGGTTGGATCTTTCTCGCATAACCATGTCCGTTTGACATCGCGAATGATACGACGGACAGTAGCGGAATAGGATTTCCGTCGAGGAGCATCGGCACTGAGAATTGTAATTTTTACGCGACTGTATTATTAATCCGCCGGAATCTCTCGCTCTTTCAATGCGCGCCGTTGCGCGCTTCCCGCTCCTTCGCGTTGCTGCTGCTGCAGCTACTCCTCGCGCGCTGCCACGCCCATGAGAAATCGTTTGGGCTCCCTCGCGAAACAGCGAGGTATCTGTCTACCTACGTAGACGCACTTAATGCAGAAACGCAAATATTTCCGCTGCGATTCGACCGGCGGTGGCGAGGCGGAGAAATGAGAAATGAGCGGGGCGAACGCGGGGGCCTCCGTCTTCCTCGATCTCATTTATCCGCGGCACGGATGACGCGGCATTAAAGAGCCCACGTCCGTCCGTGCTCCGCAACCTTTCGAATCCGTTGTCCGATCTGTCACGATCTCGTGCGCTAATGGCCGCGCGACTATGCTAATCCGCGCGAAGCCTATACACACAGAGAGAGAGAGAGAGAGAGAGAGCTCTGCAGCTCTCCTCGTCCCGTGTAATTAGACGGGGGAGATCATTTCTGATTCGCGCTCCGTACGACGGCTTACTAATTAAATGCAATTACCCGTTGGCAAACAAGTTCGATTCCCCCGTGATCCGTCGTTCGCAATGCGAGCAACGTTTATTAACTCCGCCCCGATCGTCCACGCCGCACTGTGTCGGGAATTTTTGAATTTTGCATCAGGGTCACTTAGTAAGTGGGACGCGATGATCGTATAATGATATAAAATTAAATCGCAATTATAAAATCATCAAAATCCAACCGAATCTACGCTCCGTATCGTGTTCAGCGATACGTGAATTATTTTACGCAGCTTAAACGCTCTCTCTCTTCTCCCTTTCCCCTCTCTCCCTCTTTTTTTTGTAACGCAGGAAATGCCGAGGCATCGCCGAAGTTGCTCGAATTACGAGCAATTAGAAACGGAGGTCGCGAGAACGCGGAAAAATGAATAAATTACCGGGCTTTATAACTCTCAAGTGGATTCGGCTTTGATACTAATTAAGGGTCACAGAAACACTTGAGATCGCGCATCGAGAAGCTGCGATAAGTGACAACCTCTTCGAGGAAAAGTTTGGTGTGTAACAATCGTCGCGTCTCAAATTGAAGCGATTAATCTGCCTTGAACGCGTTTCACAGAATAAATCGTCACGAATCGCCGTTACTCCGCGCGATCGCGCGCTGTCATGAAGAAATCGTCACCGGGGCATCCGCGCGTAATTCGTCAGGCACCTGTCAGCCGAATCAAGGACGATATCAATATTTATCAGCGCGGCTTTGTCGTAGGTATGCAAAACTGCTTACGCATCGTTTAAGCGGAGGCGTCGTATGGTAATACGTCTGGAATGTGTAAGCTACCCGTGGCAGTCTCGATTCATGACAATCGATCCCGCGACGCGCCTAAGCAGCTGGGATCGCTTTCGTAGTTCGCGCGTCACCGGAAATCGGTTATCAGGAGACTCGGAGAAGGAAAGACGAGGATCGTTTTCTCAGTACCGAGCGAGCTGTGTGCTGAAATATATATGTATAAGCGCGTGTGTGCATTGGCCGAGGTGCATTCCATGCCGAGGACACTTGCACGCGCGAGTAAAACAATACCCGGATAAGGACTTCCCACGAAGGAAAAACGCGATTGCGGTTCGCGCTTTCAAGTTACACGCAACATCGACCTACCGCAATTGGGCCGATCGGTGGAGGAAAGCCGGACGCGAGTTTCGGCGACGCTTCGAAATGCCGACTGCAAATGTGGCGTGTGTTCCTTCGCGTTACGTAACGACATACTCGAGTCTCTCTCTCTCTCTCTTTTTCTTTCTCTCATCGCAGCCAGCGTCCGGACGGTTCAACGATCTTCCCCGGCGTTTCGCGAAGAAACAATTACGCGAGCGACGCTTTATTCCGACGTGAGGGGTTAAAAGTTCGTTGAGGAAGTTCCAACG